GTTGAATGATCTCAGAACCCAAATTTGAATAGGCTACCGTATGATATAATATCATATGTAAGTCCTCAGTTTTTATTGCTTCCTTGTAAAAATTATGACGAAGTAGCAAATGATAAAATTGTTTAAATAGATGATAACCATTTATCCTTATACTTTTTCATTCTTCGTACGATTAGGCAGTTACTTAAGAGTTGTAAAAAGTGAATCCTATTATAATCTATACTAATATTTTGGTATGTGCAAAATGCGTGCAAAGCTATCGAACCAAACCTAATTTATTTGGATTTAGCCGTCTTATCTCTGAGTTTATAAACGTCTTTAAAACCAGAAAACTCCAGTTTGTGCATTCTTTAGTAGGTACATTACGGTACAGAACATTTAATCCTGGATATACATCCAGGTTAGCTTATACAGGCTACATGATGTATTAGTGAAGCCATAGAAATGCAGGAATGCAAGAAACATAAAGCCCATGTGACTACCCCTTAAGGCAAATCCTCATTAGGCACCGATTACCGATAACAGAAAACTTTTTCAGTTCGAGTACTATAGGTATCAAATCTGCTGTATTTTTCTTGGAAGATATATAAAGTCTTACATGGCATATCGTAAACGTAAAATATATGTCCAAATGGTTTTAACAGATACCTATCTAAATGACGCTAAAGGCAGACTGGGATTTCCGTTTTGGGTGACTCAATGGCCTTAAGTATACTGAAATTATTATTTTAGTTTTGTTTTAGTTTTACATACAAACATCTAAATTGAAGTGTTTCAAAATTAAACATACTTATAGTTAAGTAAATGTGAAAGGCAGATGTATTCGGTATACCTACTAATTGATATATTTTGCAAAATATAGAGTAAAAATTTAATGCCCCACTCCCATAATATCCAATCCAGTGGAACCACGTAAAAAGCCAGTTACATCTAAATCTTTTAATCTACAACACAGATTATCATAATTACTTCAAATAGGAACTTAAGTGGCCGTAATCACTTTGAAATTACAGTAAGTCTTCGGAATTCCCTGGTTGAAGACAATTTTCGTTTTTTATAAATCTTCTTGACTCTATCAAATCGTCAAGATATGCTTTGACTAGTGGCTGACGTCAAAAGTATTATATTATTATTTAGATTTATTTACTAATTCTTAATACTTAATACTAATTAAGTATTATAAAGGTTTTTGATAGTATTTTTTAAATATTTAGTAGAGGTAGGTACTGGCTCAAGTTTGTTTCTTATATGACATACAATTGCAATTAGAGGTACTATTATGTTTTCTTCTAGTGATCAGATTGACCGATCAAGTCTTCAGTCAATACCAAGGACTTATAGCCATCGGATTGATGAAAGGCTCTTAAGCAATCAGACTAGAGATAAAAGTTGCAAATGATGATAGGACGTATATCAAGTTTTAATTTTATATACGACTCTTGCAATATGCTCTTGTGTCATTGACTTAGCAATCATTATTTATTGTTTATGCATTTCTTTCCGCATAGGTAACTAGTTTAGTTATCTAGTAAGTTTTTAATAACGCCCCTCCGCCCCCCGCAGCCACTTTTATTTATTTATTAACTCTTTAATACACACAAAATAAGGTACATTTTCAGCTGACAGTGGAGATTTTGTGGAAAATGTTTCGATGGTAATGATGACGTAAAAATATCTAATTTATCTTCTTGAAGTGACTGCAAACGACGGACTTTCCTATTAATTATTATCTACTTACACCGATATCTGCCTTATTAAATTCTAAATACCATCAGTTACCGAACTGATCATTTTTATCTATTTATTTTGGAACCATGAATCACACACATGCTGTATAAGAATGCAATGTAGGCCATAAATAGTGATTGCAATCCTTATGTTACGATTGTGAGTGGGTTTAAATGATCAAAAAAAGACAACAATAAGAAACTGCAATTTATTTCTTTTAGATTTCTATAGAAGGTAACGTTTAGTAGCATACTTAGTCATCAGAGATATTTGGCGAGATGAATGTGGTATGTTTTAGTTAATGTGGTATTAGATATTTATGCTCAAAGGATCTATCGATTGGACTGCCTCGTTGGTCTAGTGATTCCCGAGCCGGGCAAAGTTAATACATCCTTTTTTTCGGTATATGGCAACAGGCTCACCCCCTATTACATGAGACGCATGACTTAAATACCTAGTGAAAAGTGGGTACATTGTACAGTGGTATTAAGTGCCGTAATGTACACATCTGCCTACCCATTCGGGGATATAAGGCATGAAGCTATATATGGATCAATCGATAAAATCATTTTATTAGCAGGTAATGTGATTTCTCGATAAGTATACTAACACACATATTATCTAGAGCTATTAAACTAAGGTACACCGTTAACTTGGTCGATTAACTAAATTAGTAAGCTTAGTTAACTATGTATTAGATATTCTCATTTCGCTCTTTACCTAAATAGATAGGTAGTATGTTCAGGTCATCAGACTCGTAAACTCGACTGGCAAATATTTAAAGGTTTAAGATAAGTGGTGTTGGTACAGACTGAAGACAGTGGACAGAGACTTGTGATGGGTTTAACCTCGTAGGGATTAGGAAGAGTTGCCATATTTAAATTAAATGTGACATGTAAAACATTTTATGCATTAGGCAATTTGACAAATCAAAGAAACAATAATTAATATGTGATGATCTGTAAATAATATGTATGATGTATGCAAAACATAATTAATTCTTTGGAATATGAAAACAAGCGACATATACCCGATTAAAACTTAAATTTTGATGGATCTTAAAAAATAAGGCATCTACGTAATCTGTTTTAGTCAATCGGTTTCAGTAGGACTATTGTATTCTTCACAGAAAAATGATACTGCCACGTGAAAATAAACAGAGTGACAATTTCAAAATGATTCTTATCTTTTTAGGACGACAGTTCATTTTATCTTAACTCATGTAAACATCAAAATTACCTCGGTGTGAGATTTAGGACTCTATAAAATAATAGTATCATTAAAAAATATGGTATATATACCATATTTTTTAATGAATTTTGAGCAGGTAATGCTATTTCCATATATTCTTCGTTTAATTTTACGCGTTGTGTACTATTAAATTATTAAATGTGTAAGTTATCCTGTTAAAGTCATTAAAGCGACTGACATTGAATGTATAGCGCCGGTTTATTATAGCTACATAAGTAGTTAAATCATATTTATGTAACGCAGTGTATATTTTTGTATAAACTACTACTTACGAGTTACAAAATTAAGTGCCATGATTCATATAATTACAGCAATTAACGAAAAATTTCTTTTGTAAATTAAAATGTGAATCTTTCGTCAGCAAAGGTCGCACTGAACCGGGTCGCGCCTACAAACATTAAATTTAAATAAAAACATCGCAGTTTAGCGCGTTCACGAAAAAAACTAGTTTTTTTTCACTCAAGGTCTCGTTCGAGCTTCGCGCAGATTTTTTATCTGTATCCCACATGACAGTGTTATAATGGCTATTGGCTGGCTATAAAATGTTTAAAACACGCATTCTTTTTTTATCAACGTATTTAAATTTAAAAAGTTATTGTGAATACGTATATAAATAACAGAACATGAATAATAAAATTAATAATATATGAAAGAAACCTGTAAAACAAAAATTCTTCCTATTTTCTGAAATGCGGAACAAAATTACTGCGGCGCGTTTTCAGCGGATTAACAATGGAGTTTAAACTTTCTGTTTTCAGTATTCAGATTATTCAATTTCAGTTCATTGACTTGTTAGGTAACATTTCTTGTTTAAATGAAATCGTTAGAAACTTGACATCAATTTTATTTATAATTTTTTTCTGTCGTGTAATTTATGATTTACAATGATTAAAACATAAAATTTCTGTATTTCTGAAGTATCTCACGCAATTATAAAAGTACAGTTGCATTTTAATTACATTTATATATGCGAGGAGGATGTGATATATTTACTTATAATTATAAATTTAAATTAAATTTACAGTATTTATATTGTAAATTACAATATAAAATTTAGAACCCCTTGGAGTAGTAGTAAAACTTTAAAACAAATTTAAAGTCAAGGTTACTTTAAATATAACTATTTTTTTGTCTATTTTGTTGTAGAGAGTTAACATTTTGAACCCAGCATAATATAATTATTTAACTAACGTGTTACTATTTAAATTTAACGGTATTTTGTAAATATGTGTTCGTTTACAAACATCTGTCTTGCAGCACAGGTAGTACACTAACTGAATTCTTGTTAATCGCTCATTGAAGTGAACGAACTCATTAGTAATGCGCTTAGATTGTGTACAGACCAATCAATATTTATTTTATTTATATGGCTCATTAAGATAATAAATAAGTTTATATTGTTCTTGCTCCCATTTTTACGGTATTAACTTATTGTTTTTATCGGAAAAAGTGACGAATACGGAAAATGTCATGTAGGCATGTAAATGACATCAAAAATGCAATGTAATTAAAGACTTCGCGGTCGAAATAAATTATCAGACAAAAATAAGACACAAAAATTATTTTTGTAATATATTTTTAAACTAAAAATAATCCATTGAAAATCAACGACAATGGCGCCAGAATGTGAAACTGACAAATATTAATGGCTACCGGATTTTCAGTTTAGCAAAAACAATAGTCCATTAGATACATTGTAATGAATGCAAATTAAATTTTTAACAACGACTTAATAATTTTTCGTCCAGTTTCTTCTAGAAGTTGGCAGTGTTCCTATTTATTTTACGATCCGTCTATAAAATGGCATCTTTATGAGTTATGAATAATTGTGTCAGAAAAATTAGGCTTAAGACATATAACTTGTAACATGGACATGTAACTTTCTCCTGTAACATGAGAATGTAGTTTAGAATATAGGTGTGAACGCTCTGTGAACCAAAAATAGTTGCGGGCGCGCATCCTAGCGTTCTTGTGTTAAAAATAAAGCTGTGACTAGACTAGCCTTACGAGATGTCACTCACCTATGGAACACGTGAATCAGGATACGAAACCGCACAATTTCACACCAATATTCGCCAATCTTTATACGGACCTTGACCAATACGAATTATTTGGAATGCTCCGTATCGCCGGCTAGTTATGATCCATACGAACGCGTCTAACACACACTCGCGCGCTTTTAGTCCTTTTTTAAACACGTAAAGTTTTTAAAACTGGAATAAAGTTCCTTTGGCACATTTGTGTTAAAGTTTTTTTTTATTTATTTATTGATGTCCGCAATTTGTTATCGAACGCGTTGACGCGTGCCTCCGTCACCGGTTGCGAGTGTACTAAACGGCGGCGCCCGCTCGCAGCCATGTTTAAAAGCACACGCCAGTTAGCTCAGAAAAAAAAACCGATAGGATTTCAGCGTGCAGTTGCATATTGTTTACAGTGGGCGGTGATAGGTTAGACTTGGCGATCTTTACCTTTGACTAAAATGAAAAAAACACGATGAAGGTATACTAATATATTTTGTAGTTTATCGATGTCGATAAAAATTAAAATTGTCAGCCCTATCGCATTAACCTTGAATTTATATGTAGTACAAATGTTACTGATGCGGTCTACTCTACATGTTTAGCATAAATGTATAATTATCGATCACTTACACGGTGTATAGTGATTGGAATTGTGTATGCTGAGTGAGGTCCAAAATTCGTAAGTAGGCTTTTTACTTTGGCAAATAAAGGAAGTATTTATTACTATTTATTGTGACAACACTTAATTTTAGGGCTAAAAACAAACTCGCTAAACGTAACTGTACGGGATCCACCATATGCTACTTAATACAGAGGGTGCTTATTATATTGCGTTGTTTTACAAAATATAAATTAATGTTACTATTAGTGTGGTTTTTATCAAGTTTATCACATATTGGAAAATATTTATAGTGTGTGGTTTTCGTTATCAGGGCGGAACTTGATAGAATTTGATAAACATGTTACAAAAAAGGATACTATGCTTACCATGAAGTTCATTTATATCTGTGTGTGTGGGTCCTCATAAGGGTTTGGGGATTTTCCTATCCTATACGTATGAATGTAAATTATGTGTTAGTTTTTATGCCTGCTCACCTAAAGGTTGAACCGATTATAATGGAAGTTAGATAAAGCTTCTATGGTAGACATTAAAGTGGACACGGTTGAGAACTGTTTTGTTTGTAAGTATTTTTAGTTTTATACCTTATAGCTGTCTTGAAAGTGATTTGTAACTTAAGAGTAAAATAGTGCATTAGTAAAATCATGAATAAAAGTTATTATCTTCGTACGCTCCTGAATCCAAATTGAAAGGATTGTAGTTGCATGGTCATGAACTAAGTCACTTCTTCAACGTGGTACTACCTTCTTAGGCACTAGGTCCTCGGCACCTCAAACCTATTATTACCAAATAGCCTTCGTCGAACAGCAAGGTGCTATGACCGGAGCTATTATCGTCTACATGCGCCTAACATAAACACTAAATAGACAGTGGTGGATTAATCAAACGTGGGGCCTCGAAGCTAATTCGTTTTAAATTGTAGGGCCTTTGATTTTATACATAATGGAAGATGACATGATTAAATTGAATAGAGACGTTGGAAAGGTTATTCCTAAACTTATAAGTATGGGAGAGCCATGTTGCGGCATCGACCGGAGTGATACCACGGCCTCACAGAAAACCGTCGTGAAACAACGCTTCCATTGTGTTTCATCGGCACAATTACCGGAGCCAATTACAAATTGCTTCTTTGATGTATAGTTTGATTAATACCCTAAAGTGGAGATGAATATGGCTACGCGGGGCCCAATTTCTCGCGGGGCCCCTAGCAAAATGCTACTCTTGCTATTTAGTTAATTCGGCACTGTACAGACTATAGTTAGTGCTTGGCACATGAAATTAGATCACGCAGGTGTCACAATTACCTCCTATGAAATTATTTTTAAAGTGGCTTAGTTGCTTCTTTAAATAAATCAATCAATTGGTATTTTAATTACATCTGGTTAAAAATAGACATGAGGGATGATGACATAAAATTTTAATTTCAAATTTTTGTTAATATATTTTGTAGATAAAAACATGAAACACAAACAACATACCTATGTCTATTATGTTTGCCTTTTAGTAATCTATTGTAGTCGATTCTTCTAATTCAAATAAATCAAACAAAGTAGGACAGATGTTTATTTTTCGACGAGCCAATGTATGTAATTGTAGTCATGGGATGTTTTCGATCCACGACTATTTTACTGCTGAACCAATTTATGCGTAGACAGTTTACGAGACAGACTGTACTGAGTCTGTTTGTAGAAATGTAAATGTATTTCTTTTTTGAACATGATTCAAGAATAAAATTTTATTATGGATAGGGTAAATCTCTGTTACAAAAAAAAAAAATCATTAAAGTTTGGTAGTGTGAGCTCGTTACGTTACATTAGGTTTAAAAGTAAGTTCCATGGATCGAGGTCCTGCAATATTTCAAATTAATTATTACATATTATAATCATACTTATAAGTTTTTGATTCCGTCAAAAAAGAAAAAATGTGTCCAATATTTTTAATAAATATTCCAGAAATGTATAGTCGACATCCCTATTATAAAGTGTGCAAGAATAGAACATAATGTGTACTCTATTTTTACATTTAATTTTATGCAATCGATGTTTCCGTTTTATAAACATTTCAGAGATTCTAAAAATATGCAATTATATAATCTTATTCTTGGCGGATATTTGGTTTACTTAGTTCGTCGTCGTCAAGCAAAACTGGGAAAAATAGTAAAGCAGTGTCGTTTGTTTTAAGACGAACGGGCAACAAGCTAAATGTTTATCTAGTTAACGAGTTTTTTTTCGCCTATGGGACTATTCATATCTAAATTTAATGATGGGGTTACACTTTACTAAAGTAGTAGGTTGACGAGGTAACCCGCATAGTTTCAAGCAACGCTAGGGGCTCATAGTCAGTCATGAACAGCATAAATGCTACAGACGACTCGTCCGTTAGGCTTTACAAAAGTTATTTATGTCTAGTTTGAAGAAGAAAATTGCGTGCTAATTTCTATTTATAATCTTAACACCAAAAGTGTCATTTTTTGTAACGTCTTAACCTGGTTCTTCAAGTATGGGTGGAATTATTTACATTGGGTCCCAACTAGTCATCGGATAAGTGGAGCATAAATGACATTTGACGAAACTCGTCGTCGATTGGCCACTTTTAATCATTACTCAGTGCCGACAAATAAACGATGTAATTATACCTTATTTGTAGCAGATTAATAAAATTGTACTTTCTTTCAAACGCCTACATAAACTGCGAGCTAAAAATAACTTCAGGTTTTAGTAACTTTTGATTAATCTGTAGTTATTTTCGTAACTTTAAAAGCTTTTTGGAACGCTATATTTATCTCTGATACCTAAACTAAGTGTAGTGATTAAAATTAAATGACATATAATTAATTTTCAGTGTTAATTATAACTTCACTCAAAGGCCCGGTACCTGTAGTGGTTACAAATAAGTATTTCTTTGACGTTTACAGACGTTTAAAATAACATTGCTGGCGTCAATTTATGGTACAGTTACGACAAATTATTTGCACAATTGCATATACATTGGTTAAATAAAAAAAAGTAAACGACAGCTATTTACTTTCACTAGTTTTTGATATTGCTTATTGTGTAATTAATTAATAAAGTTGCTTTTTTCTAAAGATCCACTTTTCGATTGTTTGTTGTTTGTTCTGTGAAATTGGGCGATCGTATGCAAAACATTTTGTTTACTACTTACATATAATTGATTTTGACATAAAAATCTAGGTACCTACTTATTGTAAGCCTTTTAAATTGGGACCAAAATAATTCACCATAATACTCCCCAAAAATACACTTAGATATAGGTACCTACACTTATTTATAAGTCTCCAAAACAAGATCTAATTAACACGTTAACCGCCGCGTGGGAGATCGGTGACCTACGTTAGCGTAGGATTTGTCTTCAAGAGTGTTCTGTCAGCAGTCAAAGGCTATCGTTATCTAAGCTAATGTATTTAAAAAAATATTACCAATTAACCGTTTGTATTCTCATAGCTTTACGTGTTCTCCCAGCCATACTAACTTCCAGATTATTTTTTTCTAGGAAAAGCCCAGAAACTTCCAACACTATAAAATTTACTTCCATCTCTTTGACAATTAAATCTAGACATGTCACGTAGGTACTACTTGCTTATCTATCATCATCACATCTCTGCTATTAATTTATGGAATTAATAATTTATTTGTTATTAACGAGTATGATACGCCTGCGGTTTCGCCCATATGGAATTAAAATAACTTTTCCTCCTAAGTCCCTATCCTACAAGAATGTAAATATATAACGTAACATAACAACATAACATCACGCCTTTTATTCCCGAAGCGGTAGGCAGAGGTGCACATTATGCCACTGTACAATGTAACACCCACTTCTCACTATTTATGTTATGAGTCCCATGCCATTGCATGGGACTCATAACTCCTGACTCCCCATTGGGAGTGAGCCTATTGCTATATACCGGGCACAATTCCGGACTCCGTGCTACTACTGAGATTTTTTAAAAACCCAGTAATACTTTGCCCAACTCGGTAATCGAACCCGGGACCCCTTGCAGTCGCACTTGCGACCAGTCGACTAACGAGGCATATAACGTAACCTATGTAACTAATATAAAAGTAAGTATTCTAATAGTGCAAAAATTTTTCAAATAGTTTGAAGCTCACTCTATGCAAATAAACAATTAATGATTTCCTCTTATAATATTAGCACTTATACCTAGACTAAGCGTCAAATAATACTTTCGGTTTTGTGGGTGTGGTCAGTACCTGTTATATATTAGCACACATTATGACGTATATACTTCGCGAAGATCACATGACTTAGCAAAAACTAGTTGTTTAACTTGTGTTTCCATCGTTTTAGACGAGACAGAGCGTCCTTCAAGTTTTTTTACATTTGTTCTAATCGAAGGCTCGTTCGTTGATGTCTTTTGTAACGCGAGTGTTATTCAACACTCGACGTGGTTTGTCTCATTTGTTTCTGACGTTTCATTTTACTTTTTAAAGCATCGAGATTTTTCTACTGATCATTATTTTGTTCTTTATGGTAAACATGTAATTTGTTTCGTACGAATGGATACTGATGGATTTTTCGTCATTTTATGTTGGGGTTAAAAATAAATCGTAGTATTTTGTGTTAAATTCTAGAATTCGAATAGACTTTTAACCTAATCAATGGATCAATAATAAAGTGTGACAGAACTGCCATAGCCATATATGTATGTACAATT